GGGGGGTAGACTCCACATACCAATCCTGTGGGTGGTAGTCACCCCATACCCACCCTGTGGGCGGTGGTCACCCCATACCCATCCCGTGGGCTGTAGTCACCCCATACCCTTCCTTTGGGCGGTTAGTCACCAACATACCATCCTGTGGGCGGTTAGTCACTCCATTACTAATCCTGTGAGTGGTAGTTCACCCCAAACCCATCTAGTGGACGGTAGTTCACCCCATACACATCCTGTGGGCGGTTAGTCACCCTTACCCATCCTGGTGAGGTTGTAGTCACCCCATACCCCATCCTTCGTGGGTGATAGTCACCCAATACCATCACTGGGTGGTAGTCACACCCTTACCCAGCCAGTGGAATGGTAGTCACCCCGTACCCATCCTGGGGGTATTGTCACCCCATACCCATCCTGTGGGTGGTACTCACCCCATACCCATCCTGTGAGTGGTAGTCACACCCCATACCATCCTGTGAGGCGTAGTCACTCTATACCTCCTTGTGGGAGTAGTCACCCCCCATCATACCCATACTGTGAGTGGTAGTCACCCCATACCGATCCTGTGGGCGGTAGTCACTCCATACCCATCCTGTGAGTGGTAGTCACCCCATACCCATCCTGTGAGCGGTAGTCACGCCATACCTCCTGTGGGAGGTAGTCACCCCATACCCATCCTGTGGGTGGTAGTCTCTCCATGCCCATCCTGTGGGCGGTAGTCACCCCAAACCCATCCTGTGGACGGTAGTCACCCTATACCCATCCTGTGGGCGGTAGTCACCCATTACCCATCCTGTGAGTGGTAGTCACCCCATACCCAACCTGCGGGTGGCAGTCACATCATACCTATTCTGTGGGTGGTAGTCACCCCATACATATCCTGTGGACGGTGGTCACCCCATACCCAATATGTGGGCGGTAGTCACCCCATACCCATCCTGTGGGCGGTAGTCACTTCATACCCATCCTGTGGGCGGTAGTCACTCCATACCCATCCTGTGGGTGGTAGTCACCCCATTCCCATCCTGTTGATAGTAGCACCCCATACCCATCCTGTGAGTGGTAGTCCACAATACCCATCCTGTGAGTGGTTGAGGTTCACACCATACCAATCCTGTGGCTGTAGTCACCCCATACCCATCCTGTGGATGTAGTCACCCCATACCCATCCTGTGAGTGGTAGTCACCCCATACCCATCCTGTGAGTGGTAGTCACACCATACCCATCCTGTGGGCGGTAGTCACCCGTACCCATCCTGTGGGTGGTAGTACCCCATACAATCCTGTGCGGCGGTGGTCACCCCATTACCCATCCAGTGGGCTGTAGTCTCCCCTATACACCATCCTTTGGGCGGTAGTCACACCATACCCATCATGTGGCGTAGTCACCCCATACCATCCTTGTGGGCGGTAAGTCAAACCATACCCATCCTTTGATGGTAGTCTCCTCATTCCGATCCTGGTGGGGGTTAGTCACTCCATACCCATCCTGTGAGTGGTAGTCACCCCATTACCGATCCTTGTGGGCGGTGTCATCCATACCCATCCTGTGAGTGGTAGTCACCCCATACCCATCCTCCTGTGATAGCGGTAGTCACGCCATACCTCCTGTGGGAGGTAGTACCCATACCCATCCTGTGGGTGGTATAGTCTCTCCATGGCCATCCTTGTCGGGCGGGTAGTCACCCCAAAACCCATCTGATGGACGGTAGTCACTATACACATCCTGGTGAGCGGTAGTCACCATTACCCATCCTGGAGTGGTAGTCACCCATACCCTCCTGCGGGTGGCAAGTCACATCATACCTATTCTGTGGGTGGTAGTCCACCCCATACCCATCCTGTGGACCTCGTGGTCACCCATACCCAATATGTTCTGGGCGGTAGTCACCCCATACCATACTGTGGCGGTAGTCACTTCATACCACATCCTGTGGGCGGTCAGGTCACTCCATACCCATCTGTGGGTTGGTAGTCACCCATTCCCATCATGTGGATGGTTAGTCACCCACATATACCCGTCCTGTGAGTGGTAGTCCCCCATACCCATCCTGTGAGTGGTAGTTCACACATTCCAATCTGTGGGCGGGTAGTCACCCCATACAAATCCTGTGGATGGTAGTCACCCCTTTACCCATCCTGTGAGTGGTACTCACCCCTTACCCATCCTGTGGGTGGTAGTTAGTCACACACATACCCATCACTGTGGGCGGTAGTCACCACGTACCCATCCTGTGGGTGGTAGTCACCCTACCAATCCTGTGGGCGGAGTGGTCACCCATACCCATCAGTGGGCTGTAGTCACCCATACCATCCTTTGGGCGGTAGTTCACACCATAACCCATCTTGTGTGGGCGGTGTACCCCTTTACCATCCTGTGGGCGGTAGTCACGCCACCCATCTGTGGGTAGTAGTCACCCATACCCATCCTGTGGGTAGTACGGTCACCCCGGACCCATTCTGTGGGGTTGATAGTCCAACATACCCACTCTGTGGGTGTTGTCACCCCTACGCATCCTGTGAGTGGTAGTCACCCCTAACCATCCTGTGGGTGTTAGGCCAACCATACCATTTGTGGGGGTAGTCACCCCATACCCATCCTGTGGGTGGTAGGTCACCCCATACCCTCCTCTGGGGTGGTAGTCACACCATACCCACACTGTGGGTGGTAGTCACACACATACCCCATCCTGTGGGATTAGTCACCCCAATACCCATTCCGTGGTGGTACTCACCCATACCCATCCTGTGAGTGGTAGTCACCCCATATCCCATCCTGTGAGTGGTAGTCACTCCAACCTCCTGTGGGAGGTTGTCACCCCATACCCATCCTGTGGGTGGTAGTCTCTCCATACCCATCCTGTGGGCGGTAGTCACTCCATACCCATCCTGTGAGTGGTAGCCACCCCATACCCATCCTGTGGGCGGTAGTCATCATTTACCCATTCCTGTAAGGGTAGTCACCCCATACGATCTGTGAGGCGTTATTCACTCCATACCCATCCTGTGAGTTGTAGTCACCCCATGCCCATCCTGTGGGCGGTAGTTACCCCATACCCGTCCTGTGGGCGTTAGTCACCCTAAACCCATCCTGTGGACGGTAGTCACCACATACCCATCCTGTGGGCTATAATCACCCCTTACCCATCCTGTGGGTGGTAGTCACCCCATTCCCATACTGTGGGTGGTAGTCACTCCATACCCATCCTTTGGACGGTAGTCACCCCATACTCATCCTGTGGGCGGTAGTCACCCCATACCCATCCTTTGGGCGGTAGTCACCCCATACCCATCCTGTGGGTGGTAGTCACCCCATACCCATCTGTGGGCAGTAGCTGTAGTAACCCTTATACCTATCCTGTGGGTGGTAGTCACCCCATAACTATCCTATTGGTGGTAGTCACTCCATACCCATCCTGTGGGCAGTATTTACCCCATACCCATCCTGTGGGCGGTAGCCACCCCGTACCCATCCAGTGGGCGGTAGTCACCCCATACCCATCCTATGGGCGGTAGTCACCCCATACCCATCCTGTGAGTGGTAGTAACTCTATACCCATCCTGTGGGTGGTAGTCACCCCATATCCATCCTGTGAGTGGTAGTCACCCCATATCCATCCTCTGGGTTGTAGTCACTCTATACCCATCCTGTGGGCGGTAGTCACCCCATACCCATCCTGTGGATGGTAGTCACCCATACCCATCCTGTGGGTGGTAGTCACCCCACACCCGTCCTGTGGGTGGTAGTCACCCCATGTCCATCCTGTGGGTGGTAGTCACCCCATATCCTTCCTGTGGGTGGTAGTCACCCCACACCCATCCAGTGATTGGTAGTCACCCCATACCCATCCTGTGTGTGGTAGTCACCCCATACCCATCCTGTGAGCGGTAGTCAAAAGATCACAGAGGTACTTAATGGGTCCAGGGACTGGGGCCCCAAAGTTTTCATAGCTGAACATGTTACAAAGGTAATGAACTCACAAGTTACAAAGGTCAACCGCAGTGTGTATATACACTTGAAAATGCAATGACTGAAGTGTATCTCTTATTGTATATTCCCTTGAAGAGTATTCCTCAGTGTATATACGCCGAGGGATGTATATATCTCAATGTTAATACGCTTGTTGGAGTGTATCTCTGAGTGATGTGAATCTCTTAGTGTACGTATCTCTTATTCAGTCAACACCGGAAGGTGTATATATCTCTGTGTGTTTACAGATAGTTTACTTTCATCCTACTTGAGGTTCTTGACTGGTAGTGAATATATGACACAGTCTTAGTGACCTTCATGCGCTACATTGATTTTAAACCCAACAAACTAACCAACCTACTGGATAAATGTCCAGTTAGATTTTCTCATAATACGTATAATGCATTTGTCAGATTTGGTCTAAAACGCAAGGCCATTGTTTCTACCTGGGTATACAATTAAAAAAAAAAAGAATAATGGTCTGTTATCTGATATATTTCTTTCTGTGTAACTTTTTTTTCCATGCTAGCTAGGCCTTTCTCTGGCTTACTTATATAATTATAATCATGGTGAGCGCTAAACCCGTAGGATTATATAGCGTATATGGGCGGATGGAAGGTATTCGGGCTCAATTCAGGGAACTGGAGCACAGATCCAATTCCCTAGATCAAGAGACCCTCACCAGCATCAAGGAACCTCCCTTGAGGGGTCCCTGGCTTACAGGTCTATTATCCATGTGATGACCCGCTCATTGGTGCTTTTGTTCATAAAATTAATACCTTTTCCTGGCTTACTGGTCTACAGAAGCTGGTGTTAGCAATATTGATGACAGGTCTCAACCTTAATTTTTAAAGGGGAGGACCGATAAGCTAGTGGAAGGCCTTGATCAGATGACCATAAGCTCCAAGAGCGGGTCATCATTTGACTAAGACCTGCGTCAGGAAACAGTTATCTTGTTTCTTGGCCAATCTATCCTAACCTTACTAGTCTGTCTCAGAGAACATCACATAATAAAATACAATGGTTACCACAGGATAAATACAACAAGCAGTATGAAACTGTAGAAGAGGAGACCTACCGCAAGAAAATCTTCGAGGAGAACTTGCAGTATATCGAAGATGTCAACAGGAAGTATGAGAAGGGTGAAGTCAGCTATAACTTGAACATGAATAAGTTTGGTGACTTGGTATGTTAATGCCAGAGCCTTGGTATCACTTGCATCAGTATGTTTCTAGTGAAAAATAACTGATATAAAACTGATATATACATTACTGATATATATGTAACTGATATATATTATATTCCATGACAAAAAGTCCCAAGTTCCCTGAGAAAACTGGCTGGCAAAAGTTTTTCAAAGAAGCTAAGAGCACCTCGTCCTGGTCACGAGAAAATAATGAAAAATGTATGAGTTAGTCTCACATTGGGTGGAGGTTAGTTGTTGTACTTCAAGTGTTGGTCATCCAGCTCGAGGAATTGTGGAAGCTTTATCATCCGTCTACTATCTGTGCTTGTGTTTCGGACCAGTCAAGTTGTTATTGTTCTCTTTTGGCACAGTTTAGAAGCAATGTGATAATTACTACAAATTTCATCCCCTGAAGGGAAGCGCCTTGAAGTTTGAAAAGATTATTCATCCTAGGATCTTTTCTTGGATGAAACCTGATTTCCCTCCTGCCCCCAGGTGTTATATGAGCCTTTCAGGTTTAGCACTTCTTCACGAAGACAATAATAATAATTTTAGTCACGGTATAAGTTAAGTGGAAACCTCGCATTTTTCCACTTACGAATTGCAATGAAAAATATCCTTAGCTCTACTGAAAAGCTTTTGCTACCATGTTTATTAATCTGTAGCGAGTGTTGTGATATTGGTAATGTGGCAATAAATCCGAGATATATTATGTTGCTGTATTAATATGGTTGTTGTTTAACAGACAGCTGAGGAATTGAAAAGTATAATGAACGGTTACAGAGGCAAAGCTAAGTAATTCCAGGAACCAAATGACTGCTGAGGCCCATGAACTGAGTTCAGCTGAGTCAACCTCTCCATCATATGGCCTGCCTTATCAGACTCAAGTACTTTCATAGCGGCTTAGAGTCCCATGCTGTTCTGTTAGTAACAATGTTCAGTAAATGAGGAAATAAAACAGATACAGAAATATTATATATTTTAACTGTATTTTCTCACCACAACCTATGTTAAGATAAACCTAAAATAAATAATATTACACGCAATCACTGAGTAAATAGAAGGACAGACACTCGAACAATGGCTGTGATGAACGTAAAATTATCCTGTCTTAACCTCCGTGGCTGAATAGTACACCAGTGGGTCTGCTACATGCATCAACAACAGTTCGAATCCATACTTAGTTTTCTGTTTATATACATGCATGTATACCCACGGTCCTTATCCACTATTCTGATGACAGCAAACAGTATCACTGACAAATATCTAAGAGATTTACTGATGGCAGCAGCGTGTCTTGTTACAAAATAAAAATGTACTGTGAAAAATTAACTTGCTTACTTTCTTCTGTCAAGAAATTATAACATTTTTAAGAGATTTTCAATGGGTACTTAATTATTAAGGAGAGAGGCTCCTACACAACTCTTGGTGTATAGCTTCAATATATTACATATTATATGTACTTATATTGTACTTAAATATAAATGTTGCTATCAGTACTTTAGGTATTATTCTGTACACTATAATACTCTAAGAATCTGTACTCAAAAAGTGTAAATTTCTGTGTACTTGGTTAGACTCGAATTAAAAAATGACTGACAAAACAAGTCCTTAGATAAGATAACTTCTGATTCCTTTAGACAATAAAACATCTTACTAGAACAGTAGGACAATCAATTTACCAAACAGCAATAATGCATGAAGCAGCCATGAACAGCATAGCATCAAGCAGGCAAGAAGGTGACCAGAAAAATCTACCCAAACTGGGGACCTTCGGTAAAAAAATTCCCTCATTAATGAAACTGAGTTCAGCAACTTTCAAACCCCGACAACAACATTGTGCAGATATCAGAACAAGATAAGTCAACATTTTAACTCGGGACCAGAGGTATAGAGATTGTCTCACGACACAGCCTCAGAAAAGTCATAAATCACTAATTCTAAATAACGCTTTGTGAACATAGTTACACGGAGTTAGGAGATGCATGTTCTACATCACCAATTGAAATGCAGCTACTTCCCCAGCAGTCCCACCCTAGCTAGGGTCGACAGAGCACCCGATCATGACATATTGTCTATTCCTTCAGATGGAGACTCGGAGTGGACAAAAGTATAAGAATATAGGAAACAAATAAAAAAGGGATATAACTAGAATTTACAGAGAAAAGAAGGTACGCGGGATATTAGACGCATTTTTTTCAATAAAATGTCTCAAAGAACCAGCCTGCGTGCTATAAACTGAAGGTCAGTGACGGGAGCTACAGGTCTGGGGTGTGGGGTGGGCTGTAGCTCTCCTAGTTACGTCCGATGCCGACCCATTGAAACTAAAACAAATCTTACAAACCGCGTCTTATAAGCTGCGAAATACAGTATTTATGCTGCCACCACCTGCTCTTTTAACAGAGAAGATGAGACTAGCTGAAGTCATAAGGGAAGGAAGGGACACCAAATTTGGGTTGGAAAGTAAAAAAAAAAACAGTGGGACATAATAGAGGATAGCTGTAACATGGTGTTGGTCCTGATAATTATTGGCCCTCAGGGTAGCCTGGCATGAAAATTGAGCAGTAGGCACCTTTTCAGGGGGCTAAAAATCTAGCAAATAATAAGATAAGATAAGATAAGATTTCGTTCGGATTTTTAACCCCGGAGGGTTAGCCACCCTGGATAACCCAAGAAAGTCAGTGCGTCATCGAGGACTGTCTAACTTATTTCCATTGGGGTCCTTAATCTTGTTCCCCAGGATGCCACCCACACCAGTCGACTAGCACCCAGGTACCTATTTGCTGCTAGGTGAACAGGACAACAGGTGTACGGAAACGTGTCGAAATGTTTCCACCAGCCGGGAATCGAACCCGGGCCCTCCGTGTGTGAAGCGGGAGCATTAGCCACCAGGCCACCGGGCCAAAACAAGGAATAAAGTGCGCAAAAAAACATTTTTTCAGAGGGGAACTCACAGGCCTACATTACCAAGTGAAATAAATAACAATATTAAGTTCTGTGAGAGGAAAGGAAGTCTTCCTGATGTCAGAGTGTAATACATAGTGACAGTGATACATAGTGACAGTGATACATAGTGACAGTGATACATAGTGACAGTGATACATAGTGACACTGTGTAATACATAGTGACACTGTGTAATACATAGTGACACTGTGTAATACATAGTGACACTGTGTAATACATAGTGACAGTGATACATAGTGACAGTGATACATAGTGACAGTGATACATAGTGACACTGTGTAATACATAGTGACACTGTGTAATACATAGTGACAGTGATACATAGTGACACTGTGTAATACATAGTGACAGTGATACATAGTGACACTGTGTAATACATAGTGACAGTGATACATAGTGACACTGTGTAATACATAGTGACAGTGATACATAGTGACACTGTGTAATACATAGTGACAGTGATACATAGTGACACTGTGTAATACATAGTGACAGTGATACATAGTGACACTGTGTAATACATAGTGGCAGTGATACATAGTGACACTGTGTAATACATAGTGACAGTGATACATAGTGACACTGTGTAATACATAGTGACAGTGATACATAGCGCCACTGTGTTAATACATAGTGACAGTGATACATAGCGACACTGTGTAATACATAGTGACAGTGATACATAGTGACACTGTGTAATACATAGTGGCAGTGATACATATGTGACACTGTGTAATACATAGTGACAGTGATACATAGTGACACTGTGTAATACATAGTGACTGTGATACATAGCGACACTGTGTAATACATAGTGACAGTGATACATAGTGACACTGTGTAATACATAGTGGCAGTGATACATAGCGACACTGTGTAATACATAGTGACAGTGATACATAGTGACACTGTGTAATACATAGTGACAGTGATACATAGCGACACTGTGTAATACATAGTGACAGTGATACATAGCGACACTGTGTAATACATAGTGACAGTGATACATAGCGACACTGTGTAATACATAGTGGCAGTGATACATAGTGACACTGTGTAATACATAGTGACAGTGATACATAGCGACACTGTGTAATACAAAGTGACAGTGATACATAGCGACACTGTGTAATACATAGTGACAGTGATACATAGTGACACTGTGTAATACATAGTGACAGTGATACATAGCGACACTGTGTAATACATAGTGACAGTGATACATAGTGACACTGTGTAATACATAGTGGCAGTGATACATAGTGACACTGTGTAATACATAGTGACAGTGATACATAGTGACACTGTCTAATACATAGTGACAGTGATACATAGCGACACTGTGTAATACATAGTGACAGTGATACATAGTGACACTGTGTAATACATAGTGGAAGTGATACATAATGACACTGTGTAATACATAGTGACAGTGATACATAGTGACACTGTCTAATACATAGTGACAGTGATACATAGCGACACTGTGTAATACATAGTGACAGTGATACATAGTGACACTGTGTAATACATAGTGGCAGTGATACATAGTGACAATGTGTAATACATAGTGACAGTGATACATAGTGACACTGTCTAATACATAGTGACAGTGATACATAGTGACACTGTGTAATACATAGTGAGAGAGATACATAGTGACACTGTGTAATACATAGTGACAGTGATACATAGTGACACTGTGTAATACATAGTGAGAGAGATACATAGTGACAATGTGTAATACATAGTGACAGTGATACATAGTGACACTGTGTAATACATAGTGACAGTGATACATAGTGACAGTGATACATAGTGGCACTGTGTAATACATAGTGACAGTGGTACATAGAGACACTGTGTAATACATAGTGACACTATGTAATACATAGTGGCACTGTGCAATACATAGTGACACAGTGATACACAGTGACACTGTGTAATACATAGTGACACAGTGTAATACATAGTGACACAGTGTTATACATAGTGACACTGTAATACATAGTGACACAGTGCAATACATAGTGACAGTGATACACAGTGACACTGTGTAATACATAGTGACAGTAATACATAGTGACACTAATACAAAGTGACAGTGATACATAGTGACACTGTGTAATACATAGTGACACTGTAATACATAGTGACACTGTGTAATACATAGTGACACTGTAATACATAGTAATACAGTGTAATACATAGTGACACTGTGTAATACAAAGTGACATTGATACATAGTGACACTGTGTAATACATAGTGACACTGTGTAATACATAGTGACACTGTAATACATAGTGACACTGTGTAATACAAAGTTACAGTGATACATAGTGACACTGTGTAATACATAGTGACACAGTGTTATACATAGTGACACTGTAATACATAGTGACACAGTGTAATACATAGTGACACAGTGATACATAGTGAAACTGTGTAATACATAGTGACACAGTGTACTACATAGTGACACATTGATACATAGTGACACTGTGTAATACATAGTGACAGAGTGTAATACATAGTGACACAGTGTTATACATAGTGACACTGTAATACATAGTGACATAGTGTAATACATAGTGACACAGTGATACATAGTGACACTGTGTAATACATAGTGACACAGTGTAATACATAGTGACACAGTGTTATAAATAGTGACACTGAAATACATAGTGACACAGTGTAATACATAGTGACACTGTAATACATAGTGACACTGTGTAATACATAGTGACACAGTGTAATACATAGTGACACTGTGTAATACATAGTGACACTGTAATACATAGTGACAGTGATACATAGTGACACTGTGTAATACAGTGACAGTCATACATAGTGACAATGTGTAATACATAGTGACACAGTGTAATACATAGTGACACAGTGTAATGCATAGTGACACTTTAATACATAGTGACAGAGATACATAGTGATATTCTGTAATACATAGTGATAGAGATACATAGTGACACTGTAATACATAGTGAC